AATTAAACTCAAAGATCTTAGATCAGCACTCACATCAACGACCATGTTATGATAAATGCAGTAAATACAGCGAATAATACAGTGATAACATAATGACACGTGCAACTAAAGTCATCTAAATCCGATGTTAATTGACAACCACATGTAAATCCCCGTTTAAAATAACAAGCTTTGTACATTTGACAATTATCTATAATTTGAAATGTCCAGGATTAATCCATCACAATAATGTGGGACCTAATTATTATAAAGACCTGGTCTAGAGTTATTAAATACACATTAACTTTTTGTATAATTATTTGCAGTTTTCGTATAATTGTTTATAGTTTTTATATAATTCACAACTTTGTTGCATTTTGTTTGTTTTTTTTTTTGCAAATTATGAATTATATAGACAACTTAGTTAATAACAGAATTACATGTAGATACTTAAGTATGTGTGGACTAAAATTGAGTGATCGAGTGAAAAATAGTGATATTAGAGAAAAGTGTGGATTGAAAGAAAATGTAGTGACAAGGATTGAAAAGGGAATGTTACGCTGGTTTGGACATGTAGAAAGGATGGATGAAAGTAGAGTAACGAAAGAAGTATACGATACGATATAACGAAAGATATATTAAAGAAGGGCCAAATTAAAAGTACCCTTAACCGACGAGCATGTATGAAAAGATTAATGACTGTTGATGAAGCGAAAGAGGTATGAGAAATCGTAGTCATTGGCGTTCTAGTCCTAGTCTCTGCCTACCCCTATGGGAGACAGGCGTGAAGTTATGTATGTATGTAGGTACTTAAGTACTTGTTGAAACTTGAGTCTTGAGACATTTTTACGTTTTGGTATAATGAGGTTTTAACTTGCCTGCATTTATTTTTCGACTTTACTACAGTACTCAGAAGTATCATCATCATCATCATCAGGCATTTTATTTCCGAAGGGCTAGGCAGAGGTGGACATTACGGCACTTAATAGTAATACCACTGTACAATGTAACATCCACTTTTTACTATTTATGTTATGAGTCCTATGTTATATAGAGGGTGAGCTTATTACCATATACCGGAGACAATTCCAGACTCCGTGCCACTACTGAGAAATATTTTTTAATTTTTATTGGTATTTTTTTTCGCTACAAATCGTAGACGTGACAATTTTATAGATGGACTTCGTAATAACATAGTAATGGTAACTAAAATGCAATTATAATTATTACAATTAATCACCATTCAGGATGTTTTTGCTCAAGAGATGACCAGACAATATTATACTACTAAAATAAATAAATCTATTGTAAAATTACATAGTAAATAAAATGACAAATGATGTTACGAGTAAAATGTCAAGATAATGATGCCGAATGATTTATATTTTGCAACAAAAGTCATTATTAAAATGATGAAGCAATCAAGATGGCGTAATGATGTGATGATTTAGTCATTAGAAACGTATTCATCATCGGAATAATCATTGAATAACTTATTTGTGATTCATGTATTTACACAATAGCCAGTATAAACTGACATTTGAAAGTGTGGGACGAACATACAAAATGAGACCATGATGAATTGGTTGTTATAAGTTTATGTGTAGCAATTGGTGTGTATGTATGTGTGTGTGTAATGTTCATGGGTGATGGAAAATTGTGGTTTAATTAAACTTGAATTGTAGTAGTTATGTTTGTGTTATAATTTTACATGGTACGTTAGCGCTGGTCGTGTAAGTTGTATGGGACGTTAATTCAGATATTGGTTTTTAGAGCAAAATTATAGCTATACGTGCTTTAAGTGACACTGAGATTTTCGTAACAAAATTACTTCTTTGTCTTCCATAGGAAAAACAATGGAAGATATTAAATCGACCACCAATTTTCGGATTAACTAAAAATCGCGGGCTATTCACGTGAAAATATTGAGAAAAGCTCTACTAGTTTCGAGCCACCGAGGGGTTCTTACTCACGAGCAGCATGCGCGACATGGCCGCGACTGCGCACAATGCCCGCGATTTTTAGTTAATTTAGTATGTCTCACGATAGTTATTATAAAAAAAACAGATTTTCAAACATTTTTGATTTCCAAAACTATAGTCTGGTAAAACCATCATAATACCATAAACAGAAATATAAGTTTTTAAAGAATACGGGGCGCAGTCTATGGACATTTGATAACTTATATTGGTCCCTTACTAAGCTTAAAAATAACTAAATATAAAAAAAAATGTGGACACTTATTACAAAAATACTGTTAAACATTAACGTAAATGGGAATTAAATAAATAAATAAATATAGGAATATTGATATTATCTGCACAAATATCAATGAAAGTCTTTTGGAACTCAAAAAAATTTTAAAAACAACTAAATATTACTGTTCTTTATTTCTTTAAAAAAAGCATAGATAATGCGTCATTTCCATTTTTTTTATATATAAAACAAAATACGCAAATATTATTTGTTGCTGATAATACCAATGTACACCCGCCCTAAACTTAGGCGCCATGTTTGTTTTAAAATATTTATTTATCGAATATTTTTCCACATTTAAAAGCATGGATTTTTATTTATAAACGTTACAATGAAGTAGCTATTAATGTATTTATTTTTACACATTCATGATATTCGAGTTAAGTAAAAATAACAGAATTGTATACAATACAAAAAATGTGTTTATAAGAAGCAACAATTTTTCTAAATAAACTCATTGGGTAATAAGACCGACATTCTGATTCTGGCTGGTACTAAAATACAATGTTTTAAATGTACATAGAAGAGCGCTTCTTTGTAAGAACACATATGTATGTATCAAAAAGCTGTAAAAGTGCTATTCTAGTTTGTAATTTATTGTATGTTGGTGTTAGAAAGAAAGAAAGAGAGAAAAAAATACTTAATTTCACCCCAAAAACAAGTGACACGTATAGATAATTCATTCTATTAGCAGGAACTGATGGACACATGTCCTAAGTCCCAAGTCTGCCGCGAAATGGAATGCCTTAGTACGTACGTACGAGTACGCGTTCGGCGCTGTGATTGGCCGGCGCCAATGAACCAACCAATCAGAGCGCCGAACGCGTACTCTTTATGATTACTTTAAAACAAATTCGTACTAAGGCGTCAGTTCAGCATGTGCAAGACAGGGCCTTACGTGTTCACATGAATTTCGATTAGCGTTTTCAATCAATATAAAATTCAAAGTTTTATTTCAATATTTTTTTTTGGTGTATAATTTCTACAAGTTTTTTTTTAAATGTAGACTAATTGTTATTATTTTATGAAACTAAATTACGAGCATTTTTATTTGTCTATTTTTGTTTTTTGACTTGTGTATTTAGGCATTTAGCTAATGTATTAGACAATTAGGTACTTTGCTTAATCAAAAATCAATTAATTCGACTGTTCAATACAATAAAATATAAAAAAAGTAATCACACTTTCACTAATTGATTTTACGATCAACTTAATTTTAGTATTTACCAGCAAATTCTTAAGAAATAAGTATGCTGTTTGCGCTAAAACTTATGACGTCACAATACACAATCTCGTACAAAATTCATAGAAAGCTGTCGTTTTTGACAGTTCGAAAAAAGAAATGAATTGACTAGTTGGCAAGTACCCAATTGTCTTTAGGTATTCATTTGTTTTTAATTCATTTTAAGAACTTTAGTAACTGTTTGATTACTATTGGTGAACTTTCAGAATGGATTTGGTACACCAAAACAACCATTTTGTTGTTTGTTCTATTTATTCGAATTTATATTGTTAGCTATTGATTGAATCGCTGAGTTTGATACTAAATAACAAACAGTATATAAATTGAACATATTTAAGTAATATTTGTAAGTACTAAGTCTTTTAAGATCGTTTTAATACGATACAATAACTTAAGTAGATTTCGCATGCATTTTACAAAAACATAAATAAATATGGGACAACACAATAGTTTCTTTAACCATTGATTACCAGCTCAACTGGCCATTATTAATTTATTCATTCACTTGACGACAAATACCTATATTTGTCTCTTTTTCACAACAATCAAACCTTATGTGCAAGACAGAGATGTAATAATATTAAAAATATATATTACCTACTTAATAATCAGCATGCATAAGTGTGCTTAAGCATGCAATATGTTTTTTTGGAGACTTATAAAATGCCATATAGCTATAAGTACTGCATTGGCGGAAAAATGGGTAAATTAAGTAATAATAATACGAAATGAAAAGCTCCATTAATTTATGGCATACAAAAGTATGGCGACAAAGGTTTTACTAGAACATAACATAACATCACTTATCCCCGAAGGGGTTAGCAGAGGTGCACATTACGGCACTCAATGCCACTGTACAATGTAACACCCACTTTTCACTATTTATGTTATGAGTCCCATGTAATAGGGGGTGAGCCTATTGCCATATACCTACCGGACACAATTCCAGACTCCGTGGTACTACTGAGAATTTATATAAAACACAGTAATACTTTGCCCGACCCGGGAATCGAACCCGAGACCCCTTGCCCGGCAGTCGCACTTGTGACCACCCGGCCAACGAGGCAGTCAAAGGTTCAAAAGGTTTTAAGTATTTAATGAATATTTTTTCAATATTCAGTGATCTTCTAGATGCAAGTTTAAACCTTACCATGGTTACAATAAGTAATATTGTTAAGTGTCCTAACCTTTAAGGTTAGATTTCGCCAATACTGTACGAAATAAGTATTCACTATTAAGACGAAACACAGCTGGGTACACAAACACAGAGAATCACAAAATTCGTCTCTAAAAAAAATTTTAACATCCTTACGAAATAATCTAAATACTAACACATTAAGCTGCCCCAATCTGTTAATAGATTTTTAACCTTAACACTTAGCACAATACGGCAGAAAATCTATTAAATAATCGAGGGTACATTGATGTGCATCCACAATGTCTTTATTAATTTTGGACAATTCATTGGAATTAACTTTTCTACAATTTAGGTTATACCTACTTAAATAATGGGTAAACAGCCTCAATTCTTGGTTCTCTTCTTGGAGAGTGCTTCTGCTTCTTCGATCGTGTCTGGTAGCCTCATGTTCCTGGTCTCCGGGAGCATCATCACCAGGGTGCTGGATATCAGGCACATGGCAGCAAATATTACTGTCGGCATCGATTTGTGGTACAAAGACTGCAAAGGAAAAGGGGTGAAATTATTGGTGCGTCATTTAAAAATCATTATTGAGGTTTCTAGGTCATTTATCACTGTTCTAATTCTAATACTGAGAAAAGGTTTCTTCTCATACGGAGAAGGCATGCGATTGCCAATAGGGTAGATGCCTAATTTTTATTTTAATGTCCATCTGGTAGATTATTTTAATTCATTAGACACATTTTTTTTATTTTCTTGCAGAAACGAATACTGTCGACGATATATTACTTTGAAATAGCGCGTGACGTCACTTCTATGTACATTTTATACGTAGAAATGACGTTTTAGCACATACTCCTAAACTTTACGTATAACTATATATATACGTTTTATCTAAGTATTGTTTTATTATACGACAAAATAAAAAAATACTTGTCTAATATTTTTTCATTACCTAACTTATGGACTAATTATATTTTTAATTTTCATACCCTGTCATCATCCTATTGAAGGAAGAGTTCGGTTTTATTTTTGAAAGACATGGATTTTGTAGAATAAAAATTGTAAGACAAGAATTATCGAAACCGATTATGTTACTGTTAAAAGTATTGCAAGTATCATACTGATATTGTCATCAAACCTTGAATCTTTATACTCTGTGGTCAGTAGCCCCGCCTTCTGTATGCATCATGACTACACCTATATACCTACTTCATGTTAATATTGTTCCCGCTTCCCAAACGGAAAACCCTCTTATGTAGGAGGCTCATAATTCAGCAGTGTTATGAGCTGTTGCAGGTAATGTTGACAATATAATACTTTCTACAATTCTTTTTATGGGATAAGCAGGTAAAGGAGCAGACGGATGACCTGATGGTAAGCAATCGGCGTCGTCCATGAACACCCGAAACACCAGAGGCGTTACAATTGCGTTACCGGCCTTTTAGGAATTGGAAATTTGGAATTTGGGGATTGTGGGGATTCGGGGATTAGGAAGACTGCGGAGGGGTGGTAATTGGGCCTCCGGTAACCTCACTCACACGACGAAACACAATGCAAGCATTGCTTCACATCGGTTTTCTATTAGGCCGTGGTATCACTCCGGTCTAGCCAGCTCGTTCGCGCCGAAGCATGACTCTTTCACACTTATAAACCAATAAAATAACTTACCAATAATGGAGTCATCGGCGCTATAAGGGAGCCGATCCTTCCAGCCATGGAGCACATACTAATTAAAGTCTGTCTCATATTTGTAGGGAACACTTCAGACACGTAGATGTAGACGGAACTGTAGGCGAGTGTCACACTCCATTTCCCAATCAGGTACAGGGGTATGGACCAGTAGTCGTCTGGAAGAAAACAGAGGAGATTAGGAATTGAAAGATTTTTGTAGCAAAGTGAGACTTGACACTGTTAAAGAACAAGACAACCAGTGCTAAGTTTTGTAAGAAAAGACAAAGGTATATAAATATTTTGTTGATGATATTTCACCTCGATGACTGCCTCATTGGCCGCGAGTGGTCGCAATTGCGACTGCCGGGCAAGGGGTTTAGGGTTCGATTCCCGGGTCGGGCAAAGTATTACTGGGTTTTTAAAAATCTTATAGTAGCACGGAGTCTGGAAATGTGCCCGGTATATGGCAATAGGCTCACCCCCTATTACATGGGACTCGTAATATAAATAGTGAAAAGTGGTTGTTACATTGTACAGTGGCATTAAGTGCCGTAATGTGCACCTCTGCCTACCCCTTCGGAGATAAAAAGGCGTGATGTTATGATATGTGATTTCTCAACTGTCCAGCTTCAGTTTTAATTCCCTGATTGCAGTGTTTCTTTTTTGGGTATTAGCTAAATGGGATGAAGTTTTCTTTGACAGTAAGTTTGTCCTTTATTCCTATTATTACAAGGTGCAATAACTAGAGACGAATTTTTATCTTCAGACCTATAAACAGAGCTGTAGCCAAGTCCCTTCATTAACCTTTGAGTACCGTCATTAGACACAATTAAAGAACAATAGGTTGCGGTCACCGGTGTCCTCGCGGTGTTTGACAGTTTAACTCTTTGAGTACCGTCATTATAGACACAATTAAAGAACAATAGGTTTTGGTTAACGATGACCGCTTGCTGTTTGACAGTTTAAGAGAATACACAGGATGACGTCGTATTTATAATGGTGCATTCAAAGATTTCTCCTGACTTCCAAGAGTGCACTCACTTCATACAAGATTCAAGTATAAGTGCAATGAGTATATCAGACACGTGCGAAGACGAGACCAGTATTGATAGTTATAGTAAAATATTAACAATAATTTGTGGTCTCAAACTTCATGAGAACATTTGTTCGTATCGTAATGGCAGAAGTATATTAGCGTGACACAGCGTGTCGTGGCGCGCACGAAGCATATCAGTTTCATACATTTACTGTGGTTAAAGACACACTAGTATATAGTAGCATGTCGCAGGTGGCACTATGATTGATGACAGAGTTTATAATTGACATTGTTTAGCAAAATAAAATATTTGACTTCATACTTGTATTGGACTCCGACTCTAATTTAATTGAATTATATTGTGAATGTTATTGAATTGGATTATTATTGAATATAATTATGTACAACCATTCCTTTCCTTTTTTAGATGTACTTAACTTCACATGCCCTAAGCAGGCTAAATAGACTATAAGAACAAAGGATGTAACATAAAAACCATCAAATGTAATAACTCTATTTAAATGTGAATAAATGAATTTTGATTTTTTTTTTGATTTTTGACTAAATCCTTGCAGCTGATTGGTGCATTCCACGTCACGGTAATGTAATTCTGCCTTAAGTCTGCTGAGTGGGTGACACGTGTAGAATGTTTCTCAATTTGCAAGGTCGACGCACTAATGTGTCAACAAAGAGCACTTTCACACCGTTACTGTCGCGCGTTTGTAAATTAGTAAGTGCTAGTTGTTAATGTTTGTTGTTCGTGTGTTATCGACTTACTGCTTGGTTTTGAGGCTTGAAATTTCTATTTAGTCTGAGCAGTTTATGGTGTTGCCCCTGTTCTTTGAATCGTTCTCAAATAACAAATTATTTGCAAACGATTTCCACACACACTACACACCAACATTTCCAACATTCTGATCACAGTTCAAGTCAAAGAGACAGATCTCTTTGACTTGAACTGTGACCTTTATTTTGAAACCTCTTAAATATATTTATTCATACTACATATTTATATTACATTTTTCGTTTCGTTTCATTTCATACCTTCTACCGTCTTCTAACTCTCGACCAAGCCAAAGGACTTGAATAAAAAAAAAACGCACGATCTCAATACTCCAGTGTGAAAGAGCCTTACGCTTACTTATGTATAATCTGACTTCCGCACTCAGTTTCCGTTGTAAACAAAACTTGTTTACAAACGCATAAATAATGTTTACTATTTAATTTTTGTTTACTATTCAACCGATGTTTATAATTCTAATGTTTTCAATGGCTTGTTTATGGTTTGAAGATAACCTTGTCGATAAGCACGTTTAATTATATAGAGTTTATAATTAGTTTGGTTGCATAATATGTAGATATAGTTTGTTTTATTGAATTAATTTGTAATTAGGGACACTGGTCCATGTTGCGTAATTTGACGAATGCATCCTTGACGAATAGTAGGTGGCTTGTAAATGACAAATGCTTGAAAGATTTTTTTTTTAAAACGTTGCCCCACACTAGGATTGTCTCCTGTGTCGTGGGTGCGTTTACAGACATACAACTTCACATACACAATGACACCCAGACCCGAAACAACAATTTGTGGATCACATAAAATGTTGTTCCATGCGGGAATCGAACCTGCGACACGTTGCACGGCAGCCGGTTGCCCAGCCACCGCACCAACCGTGCGGGAATCGAACCCGCGACACGTTGCACGGCAGCCGGTTGCCCAACCACCGCACCAACCGTGCAGTCAAAATTAAGTGTGGGAGAGCCATGCTTCGGCACGAATGGCCGGCTCGACCGGAGTGATACCACGGCCTCACAGAAAACCGACGTGAAGCAACGCTTGCGTTGTGTTTCGTCTTGTGAGTGAGGTTACCGGAGGCCTAATTACCTCCCTAGTCCCCGTCTCCCGAATCCCTGAATCCTCCAGAATCCTCAAATTCCCAAAAAGCCGGTAACGCACTTGTAACGCCTTGGTATTTCGAGTGATCAGGTGATCCGTCTGATCGTTTACCGGCTTATGCCATAAAAAAAATGATTGTGAACGAATCGGCAACGTTACACCGTCTATGGTTTGTGAAGAGTGCATGCATTCGTCAAATGACGTACAATGGACAGTGTTCCTGAGGTAGACATTTAGTATTTTCAGATGGGGTTTAACAATATACGTTTTGTCTCAAGAATATAATTTCAGATTATAGGAGAAAAGAGCTCCAATAAGTCTTTCAATACTGCCCCGTTGGCCTACTGGTCGTAAGTGCGATTGCCGGGCAAGGGGTCTCGGGTTCGATTCCCGGGTCATGCGAAGTATTACTGAGTTTTATTAAAAAAAAATCTCAGTAGTAGCACGGTGTCTGGAATTGTGTCCGGTATATGGTAATAGGCTCGCCCCTATTAAATGGGACTCATAACATAAATATTGAAAAGTGGGTGTTACATTGTACAGTGGCATAATACCTCTGCCTACACCTTTGGGGATAAAAAGCGTGATGTTATGTTATGTTAAACATCGAATTAAATGCCATTATACTACTTTTAAAAAAATATGATGTAACACACGTACGAAATTACAAAAGAAGAAAAAAAAAATACGCCATATCGACATTATTATGAAATGCGTACAATTTTGTACATTACCTGTTGTACTATTATCAAAACGTGCGACACGTGTAGATATTATGTTAAGAATGCATTATTATTTGAAGTGCAAAGTGCAGTGAAGGTTTTAGGGTTAAAAAATATTATTAGGAAGATAATTAGGTGCGTAATAATACGCCTTTGCACAATTTGGTTTATTGTTATAATAATCTATATTAATCATTTCGTTAAGGGGTACGGTAGACTCGATCGGAACATTACTTGAATAACAAAACATAAAAAATATCGATTTCGAGTCGACAGCATATTATTATATCCGCAAAATTCGGATTACGGAGATTATATCGTTTTATTAATTCATTTTAATGACACATGAGTAGACAATAAATGTTCCGTTAGCTCTCAAATACGCCTCGCCAATCAACACGTTTTTATTTTAACATCCTCCGTGATTTGATCAAATCCCTTAGGGAATTGACCTAATCTCTGATTTTATCATATCCCTGCGACATATAAATTCACAAGAAATATGAATAATTTCACGCGAACGATAGGTATAATTAGAGTTTCTTTTATTCTTTAATCTATACTTATAATAAATCTGTAGAGAGGTCAATTCTGTACATAAAATATATTTAAAAAATAACTATCAAGGGGTGATTAGGGATCGCTACTGATGCCAAAAATGCAATCAGTAAAATTTTTGTCTGTCTGTCTGTCTGTCTGTATGTTCGTTATGGAAACAAAAACTACTCGATGGATTTTAACGAAATTTGGCACAATTATTCTTCATACTCTTGGGCAGGTTATAGTATACTTTTCATTACGCTACGATCAATAGGAGCATAGCAGTGAAGGGAAATATTGGGAAAACGGGAGAAGATACTCCATTTTTTAAGCTTCCGTCGCGTGTGCAGGCTTATAGGTTAAAGCTGCATAGAAATCATGTATGACGGAAATATTCTCCTTAAAATTATATAAAAAATATTCCTCGACAGCACATGTCTATCTTTTATGGTTGACTCACAATAACACGTGAAACTCCCGATAGCTTAGCAATTCGGTGATTTCTGATTGTATTTGTCTAACGTTTACAATACTCATTCATAGACTTTACGCTGTATCTGAAAGGCCAATGGTTGAAATTAGCTTGACTCGATATTATAAATGAAAATATGTGAGTTTATGTGTATGTTTGTTACTCAGTCATATTAAAACGACTGAAGGGACCGGAATGAAATTCGGAACAGAGGTAGATTATGGTCTGAAGTAATACATAGGCATTTTACCCCTGGGATCGCGGGCGAAGCCGCTGGCAGAAGCTAGTATTTAATATAATTTATAACCTTTTACTGACTATGAAACATATTTTTTATTTAAATTCAATCCAAAAGTTATCCACACGAACAAATACGAATAATAATAATTTAGTTTGTTATGATGATACTAGATTTATGTCCTACCTATATTAAGGTCAGTTATTAACAGTCTGATTGTTCGTGATTTTTAAACATCACAATATCTGTTAGATTACGATTTAAAGATAGAATCAGTTCATTGATGCATTTATCTCGGCAATGATAAATTTAATGACCAATTATACAAGTTTTATCCAATTACTAACACAATAGTTACGTAATTATCATTGATCTCCTATTTACAATTCTTAGAAAAATTTTAAAAGAGTAATACTGACTGCTTCGCTGGCCCAGTGGTCGCAAGTGCGACTGCCGGGTAAGGGGTCTCGGGTTCGATTCCCGGGTCGGGCAAAGTATTACTGGGTTTTTAAAAAATTCTCAGTAGTAGCACGGAGTCTGGAATTGTGCCCGGTATATGGCAATAGGCTCACCCTCTATTACATGGGACTCATAACATAAATAGTGAAAAGTGGGTGTTACATTGTACAGTGGCGTAATGTATACCTCTGCCTACCCCTTCGGGGATAAAAGGCGTGATGTTATGTTATGTTTATGTTTATGTTAAATACTTACTTCTAGGCAAGAACGCGAACAGCAAACTCATCAACGCGCAAGTAAGGTAGGTGGCGACCAGAGTCTGTTTTCTCCCATACTTGTCCAGTACTATCACAACCACAATATACGCTGGGATCTCCACCAAAGTCACCAGCATGAAGCTCACGTACCTATTACTGCTTAAAGATACAGAGTTTATTGACAGCCCATAGTATACCAGGGAACAAGTCATCCATAAAAACGAACAAATCATCAGTCTTTTCCATATTATGCTTGAACGTATCGCTTTTGACAATTGAGACTTCTTATCCGTCGTCTGACTCTCAGCCTTAAGTAAAGGATCTCCCAAGAAGTCCAGTTCAAGTTTTCTTGGATCCAAATTGTTGATTTTTGCTGCTTTTTTAAGTACGGATACGGCTTTGTCCCTTTTGCCTTTACTCAGGAGCCAGCGGGCACTTTCATTCATGAACCAGATGTAGATGACCACAATTAAGGCCGGGCAGTAGAGAATGAGGATGTAGGTACGCCAGCTTTCAACCACCCAAGCAAGGAGGGCAATGAGGACGACGCCTATGACAAAGGTCATATTGCACATGGCGGATACTATAACTCGCTGTTTAAGGCCAACCAGCTCGATAACTGTAAAGAATAAATTAGTATTAATAAGGGCATGTCGTGAGAAACGCCGTATATAGTCAACGATATTCAACATTGTACTATTGTGATTTCTTTCCTAATAGGTTTAGTAGAAGTTAGAATGAAATCGATATCAGAATCTTCTCGAATATTGTTAAGTGTTATTTTTATTTGTCAATCAATTTTCATCGAAGGTGTAGATTTAATCTTTACTTTGGGTAAATCAGTACGTTATAGTGATAATATAGCATTTTTAAGTGTCAATTGGAAAAGCCTATTTCGTTATCAATAGTAATAAACATTGTCTTGACCTGATGGTCCACGGTACCTATAGATTATTTGAAACAATTGTAACTATTTTTTTTTAATATTCGATAGACACATTTAACAAATGAGAAGTACTTACTAAAGACATAAGCTGACGGGTATAATCCGCCACCAAAGGCTGCCTCCAAGAAATGTAATGCTACATAGGTCAGGTAATTTGGCGCAAACGATCTGGAGAAACCGAATATAAAGCTGGTGGTGGCCGCGAAGCCAACAGCCATTTTCCTCCCAAACCGATCAGATATGGCGCCAGTGAACAACATTGCAACGAACATCCCACAGTTGTGAATGGTTCCAACCAAAGCCCTCTTCCATTCCTGACAGCCAAGGTTGAACTGAAAGACGAAGAAGACTAAAAAAATGTTCAAAAGTCTACGTATTAAGTACTAGCATGTTTAGATCATGGAGTTTACATATTTGGCGCAGTGGCGTCCACCTCGTGTACTTCGTTTACTGCGGACAAATATAGTATTATTATGTAAAGCCAAGTAAGGTTAATGAGTCTACATTTGACACTACATACATATATATAAATAAAGCAAATATTGCAAGTAAGGTCACAAGACTCATTTTTGATAAAATCAACAGTTTGGACACAGCAGTTGATATGAGAAAGTGGATTATGCAAACAGACACAGTTTCGTACAATACAAATAAGGGCAAGATTTTATCTTGGAAATGTATTTTTAAAGCCCGTATTCTTTATAAAACAGACATAAATATTTCATGCAATATAAACTACTATGATCATATCATTAAAGTACTTTTTGGCTTAACTTTTCACTAGACATGCATTCAAAAATTGGTCTACTCACCTCTTTTACTAGTGAATGTTCATCTTCATAGACAAATTTGTCACAGGCCATAGTTTTGTTCAAATCAAAATTGTGAGGTAGGCACTGGAACTCTGAGTTGTTTAACGGAACATACATCATGCATGACTCTGGTTTGTTATGGACTTGGTTGGTCGGGATGGCATAGCTGATCCAGGAGGTGTCGTTGAAGCGTTGCTCGCAGCCATTCACGTCACACCTGGTGGAAATCATGAGACAGCATTGGTTGGTGAACTTTTCTAAAGAGACGATGTTCTGTTGATTATTAATCTACCAATGAATTAGAGAAACAGGCTATATTATACTGTACTTCATCTGTAAGATTTGGCATGTCAATTAATGACATAGTTTTCCTATTATTTGCAGGCAACATCTGTTTAAGTGACATAACAACTTACATCCTTTTACTACTAACGCTATTTATATCGCTTTGACCTTCATCTTTGTAGGTCAAGGCTTATACTTCTATTTTTAGTACCTAGTCGTAAAAATAACAAAGTTTAAAGTTATGTTCCATATCATTCTATCCCCGTACTTATTCCTGCGTAGTCTGTGTCTATTACAATGTTTATTTAAGATCTATTTCACCAATATATCTGAGAGGTGTTCAATCTAAGTATATTTTGTGCAATATCATTTAGATATCTACTAATATAAGGCTTTTGTCTTGACATACATATTATTAAGAATGTTGATATTGGAAAACGTAATAAAACTTTACTGAACCCTACAACTCATACACCGTTACTCAGAAATCTCTTTGTTCCTTAAACTTTATAAATAACACAAGATGAAGATGAAGATAGTACAGAAAGATATCCAAAAGGGAAATGAGCTCAGATGTTATTTTTGTTCAGAAATAAGAGTAACAACCGCAACAAATGGAGATTGTACGGCAGATTCTGATCCTTAAATACATTCTAAAAAGGTAAAGGTCAATCACCCATCAATTGTAAATAGGAAAGTGAAGACTGATGACTAGTAGGACTATGGTGTGATTTATTTAAGAAGTAATGAGACTTAAGATGCAATTTTTGTAAAATAAGAGGCCAATGTGCTCTAAGACTAATAAAGGACAAAATAGTCGTTATGAACTGACTAAACAGATGTGTTGCCCAACTTAATAAAACGAAAATAAACACATTATTTTTTGTTATAATGCTGTTATTACAGATTGTATTTTTCAACAACTTATTTGGTTGAGTAAATCGCGAACTTAGTTTTTGCTTTGAATCAATTTAAAACAATGAAAGAAACTGTATTAACAATTTTTGTATCTTCAAAGTGAGGTTTTACGAGTCATTGGAAAAAATGGTCTAGAAGAGACTTCTATCATGACTGACCGACTATAGAACGGAGAATATTACAAAAAAACCTTACCTGTAAGTCAGTTCCTGAGCTTCAAATATGAATCCACATTCGAAGAAGCTGCTGAGAAGAATCGGGAAGAGAAGCAGTACGAAGTTCAGAAGGTTGTATCTGCCATATGGTCCCAAACTCTCCAAGACGGAGTCTAGATTGATCTCCTTTTTAATCTCCTCCATGATTTAGATGGTTCTTCTAATTGGTAATTATATTCTGCAAAGATGAGAAAATTGTGTTTAGTATCTTTATATTCATAGTTGTTTTTTTTAACAGGGTAAATCTTCAATTGACTGCTCCCGCCTTGGTAACGCGGGAGGTAGTGTCAGACTCTTACTGACTAAAAACCACCCCATTCCTTCTCCTGCGCTTCGAGCCGGAGCCCCGGTAACCCGTTAGGTTCTCCGCGACATTCATAGTTGTTTAGATCGAGTTTGTAACATAGAAATTAGTTATATTGCTTACATCGTATTATATGGCCCTGCAGCATATATAGAGCACACAGCATAACCTTTGTTAGGGATGTCTAAAATAGATTGTATATTTTACATAAATAAACGTTTCATTAAACGCTGTCCTTTTGTAGTAAAATCTGTAATTTATTTATTAGGATTATATTTCTCGAAGTCATTGGATTTTGAAGACATTTTTTCTTTTTATTATAAACACGGTTTTAAAATATTATCCCTTTCTTTTTTAAAAAAAATTTGATAGAGGATTTGGAATTTGAATTTATTTTTAATTTTTTGGTATTTAGGTATGGTGTATCTTTAGTGTCTTCAATTCGCATTTAGCCGCGAATGAGATCAATGTAAACATTATAGTTTACAACTGACACATTGTTTATTCTTTACACAGAGTTAATCTTTATTGACGCATGTCTGTGTGTGTTTTCCTCATCATTAGGTTTATGAGTGTATAGCTTTATCTAAGTCAATTTATGGTAGAAATCAAACAGTTTAAAATTGCGCGGTTTTATTTTGTCTTTACCGGCTTATTAGACAAGATTTGCCTCTTAAGATTATTACTGAACAATGAATCTTTTCTCTTATGTGATAAAAGCTATTTTAATAAAAACTGCAGTTAACTAGCTTCACCTTATGGTTCCATAATTTGAGTTAAGTATCTGAATGATCGAGCTTTGCTCTGTGTTTTTAGTACTATCTGTTTTTTTTTTAAATAAAAAGAAGTAGAAAAAATGAAATAGAAAAACAAAATTTAAATAGAGAACAGAAAAAAATACATTCAAGAATTACTCGTTTAAAGGCATTACATATTAGGTTCATTAAAAATCGTAATGGGAAAATTTGAATTATCTATGGAAATCTTATGTTCTGCACTTTTCTTTTAATATAAGAAAGTCACGTGTTATATATAAATCAAATTGTTACTATGCAACAATTTTCTTTAATAGGAACGAATGAAAAGGATTTGTTTCGCTTCATTACGCATATTATATTAACTTTATTTAAAAATAATGTGGAATATTAAAAATAAAAAATTCTTGGATTATCATTTATTAAATCATTCATTTTGTTCAGTGTCGATTTGTAACTGGCCAGTAAGACTGCTTACTGTAATGACATGGTATGACATATTTACTTTTTATTTGTTTTTTCTTTTTGAGTTCGATTTTTAATACAATGATTATTTGAAGTATTTGTATATTCTATTTTTTAAGTTTTATACTGAAATAACTTGATATGGGTTTTAGGATAAAACTGTCTTTTTGTTTGAAATTTTAGAGCCATTTCAACCATTTCAGAGATTAGCCATGTTAAAAAGACGGACACACAGACAAAAAAAATATTTTGGTAAGTATAATTATGCTATGTATGTTCATATGCATATAGTAAATAGCGGTTATATATCAATATTACAAACAGATACACTAATTTTATTTATCTGCATAGATGCGTCATGCAACATACTCCGGTGCATTGCGTGTGGTAAAGTCGTTCTTAACATATGTTTGTAATTACAACGACTGCACCGGGTGCATGTATACATGGTACATATTAAGATCTATCCACCATTTTATCAAGGTCTCACTATGTATGATCTTTATACAGTTTCGAAGGTTAATTTATACTGGTTTTACATGCCTCAATGTGTATACGTGTACTATAAGTATAAGGGAGCGTCCGTAGTGTGGGTGTCATCGTACTTATGACGTGTCACAGTGTGGGTTTCCGCATGTGTGACGTGGTTCTGGAATGCTCTTTATTTTTTTTTGCAATTTAAAAAAGGAAGATTCGTTTGTTGATTAGTGGCGTTGGGTGGTGTTGAATGTGATGAATGACAGAACTCACGAAAGTAATTCGGTTTCCTGATATTTATCATAACAATATCACCTGATTCTCTGAACGAGTCTTTCTCATTGTGCCTATTTTTATATTTGATGGGCCGACGTTTGACCACTATCTCGCCTGGTGGTAAGCGATGATGCGGTCTATGATGGAGCACGTCGACCCATAAGCAACCTATTCACTCGGGCCTTGAAGACGCCCAGGAACCCACCTACCATATTCCCTTGGGGGGGGGGGGGTAATTAGGCCTCCTGTAACCTCACTCACAAGACGAAATACAACGCAAGCGTTGCTTCATGTCGGTTTTCTGTGAGACGACGTGGCTACGTGGTTTCGTACTAAGTATAGTATATAGGTCATATTGAATTAGTATTCAATCCATTAAACATTCAGTTTTTAGTCACCCACAGTCCCACACGGTATAATGCTAACGAGCTATTGTGTGGATTACATTTGTAGCACATATTATATTATTACCTACTATTATTGGGCACTTGTATCATCTTGCCTTAATTTTATATGCGGTTTTGTTTTGAGATTATAATCTGAAGATCATGATTTTTATTACCCGAGAAGAATATAGCGGTTTACGGGTTTTTACTTTATGTCTTTTAGTGCCTGACAAATAAGACTAGTGGTTCAATATAATTGACTATTCTTCAGCTTAAGTCTAAATCGTTCTTATAGGTCAATAAATATAAATGAGGAGACGGCATCCCAGTTCCCCTCGCTCCGTACCATGGTCTGAACCAGAGCCGGACGCGAGAGGTCGCCGTCGCCGATCACATCCCTGAGGACACGACGGTGCTCAGCCCACGCAAGACACACTGCCACCGTATGCTCCACCGTGTCCTCCGGGCGGTTCTCGCAGTGATGACACCCGGGCGTTTCCTCCCGCCCAATCCGAAACAGGAACCTACCGAAACTTCCGTGTCCAGAACGTTGGCTCACACTAGGATTTTCTCCTGTTTCGTGGGTGCATTTACAAATATACAAGTTCATATACGCATGACAAGCTGTGGATTACACAAAGACTTGTTCCGTGCGAAAATCGAAACCACTACAAGTTACGTGGCGGCCAGTTGCCCAGCCACCACGCCAACTGGGCAGTCAAAAAGTTAATTACTATCATTGACTGGAATTGTGCCCGGAATATGGCAATAGGCTCACCTCCTATTACATGGAACTCATAACATAAAAAGTGAAAAGTGGGTGTTACATTGTAAAATGGCATGAAGTGCCGTAATGTGCACTGTCTATCCCTTCGGGGGTAAAAGGCGCGATGTTATGTTGTGTAAGATAGATTTATTGTTAAAATGTTATCGTTAATTACAATTGCAATAATACGGTAGTTACATAAGACTCTATACAGGTTTAATTTAAACGTCATCGATGCGTTGACAATATTAAATGATTCGATGACTCACATCATTGTAGGTAGGTATCACTCTGCATAATATTATGGTGTGTGGCGCTTATTGTTATAAATAGATACGCCTGAAGAATAATAACTTCGATATTAATCTAGGGTAAGTTCACCTGTTTGCTTCCATCCTACTATAGTCCGCCAGTCCGCGTCTATTTTACAAATCGCCATGAATGTAAGACGTGAAATGGTCGAACGTATGTGTAGTTAATATTAGTTATGTGGTGATATGTTCTTAGTTTTAGTATTTTCGGGATTTTTTTTAAGGGCGGTACATGGACGCGAATTTTTTTTGTATATTTAATGGTGGTAAGCGATGATGCGGCCGACTATGGAGCACGTCGTCCTATAAGCAACACATTCACTCGGGACTTGAAGACACCGAGGTTATATACCCTTCAGAAAATGCAGACTCTGGCAAAGAATTCCACTCCTTAATAGTATGGTGGGTAGACGCGAATAGGTGAACTTACCTTATATAATTTTGTAAATACTGTTATTTTTTCGAGTGGTTGCAAGTAGAAAGGGTGCAAGGAGTCTTGATTATATTCAAAAACATGTTAGTTTGTTTGTACTTTCGCGTCATGACGTCATCACGGGTAGTTGCGTAGTATAATTTTTGTACCTGAAGATAGTTGGACGACAGGAGAGTGATATAGTCTACTTCTTTTCCATTTACCACGTGCAAGAAGCCACGAGTAACAACTGGACAGTTAGTCATCGCGTTAAAACTTCTGAATAACAACTCATCGAGGAATTAAATACGAGGTAACATAATATCCTACTTCCTACTAGTAATATTATAAACTAGCTTTTACCCGCGGCTTCGCTCGCGTCACAAAAGAATAAAAAGTAGCCTATGTGACATATACCAATGCACACAGCGCCATCTATACCAATACTTTTGTTTTTCCTCGGGAATATCAATTTTTTCCGGGTTAAAAAGTACCCTATTATTTAATCCGGACTTCTAACTTTACGTCTGCAAAAATTCAAAGCAATCGGTTGAGTAGTTACGGCGTGAAGGTGGAACAAACAAAGAAACAAACAAACTCACTTTCAGATTTATAATATTATATAGTAAGGATGCGAAAGTTTGTGAGGATGTATGTGTGAATTTCTCTCTCATACACGTCAAAATGGCTGCAGGGATCGGGATGAAATTTGGAATAAGTGTAGATTATGGCCTGGACTAACACATAGGTTACTTTGATCCCACGGGTACGCGGGCGAAGCCGGTGGCATAAGCGAGTGTGTTATAACTTTGTTGATCATGTAGGCTGCTCAGCTATGTATGTACATCCCATTATTATTATCATTTCATTATTCTATACCGTGCTCATATTCATACTCTTTACTATTAGATAGCTCACCTCTTTGCTTTAGTATTTTCTTCTTCCAATAAAATCTGTCAATACTTTTGTTTTCCTACTTCATAATTTTTCTC